CCCCTTTTTCCCTTAAAGGCCGGCCCCCCCCCCCCCCGCCCTCCACACACACACACACACCACCACCCACGTTTGGGCCGTTGGCCACGATCTGCCTCCAGCCACCACGTGCACCCCCTCCCGCCCCAGGCTTGCCCCTCGCCACCCTCCCCGCGGCGCTGCGCCTCGCGGCCAACTTCCGCGCCGGCCTCGCCGCCGGGGACGCGCCGCTCTCCGCCTCGCTGGCGCGCATGCCGATGCGGACCGCCAAGCACGCCGCCCTCTTCGCGCTGCTGACGACGGCGGGCGGCGTGCTTCCGCCGTCGACGTGTTCCTTTTGGACGGCCGTGTCTGTCTTCTTAGGCGGGCGTGCTGCTGCCCTCGCCGTCGCTGCGCGAGCTCGGCGGCTCGCTGGTGCGCACGGCACTCCGATCCTACTACGACCGCGTCTTCTCGTGAGAGAGCTGAGAGGGGCGGCGCTTGGGGGCGACGGAGTACTCCCGGCTGCCGCAGTGCCGCGGGTTGCCGGAGGGGGACACAATGAGAGAATACTATGAGAGCCCACGCGAGACGGTATATACTCAGTGTAATGCCGCTTAGTACGCATGCTATTTCTGTCCAATTTACGACACACCTCGCTGGCCGTGACTGCTGAAACTCGTAGTCGTGCACTTTCTTCGCGCTGGCACCGCCACCGGCACCGCGCACACCGACCCACACCGGCGCACCCGCGGCAGCCGGGGCACACCGTGCCTCGTGCGCGCGATGCAGCCGCCGCGGGCGCCACGCGGTCAAGGGGGGCGGGGGCTCCGAGTCCGGTTGGGGGAGGGGGAATCGTGCAACGCCACCAGCGGCCAACGCATGCCCCCAGCCCCAGGCAGGCTCCGCGTACCATAATTTACGACCTGGCTCCACATTCTCCGCCCGCTCGGAACGACGAACGTGTCAACTGTCATGGAGGGGGCGATGCTTGTACGATTTGCGACTCTTGCAGCTGCTCGCGCCCACTGAGCGACCGTGTGTGTGTGCGCGCGCGCGCATCGCGCGGACATGTCATAGCGTGCTCGGGTAGTGCTCGCTGCGACGTCACTGTCGGCGAAATTCTTAAATCTTCTTTGGAAGACACACCACGTACTCCATACACGCGCGTGTGTCGTGGCCGCGCATTCCGCGGTAAGTGAGCCCTCGCAGCACGACCCGTCCCTTCCACAGCCGGAGAGTCGTTGCTCGTTGCATCCGCGGGTGAGGCGAACACACCGCACGTCTCAGCCTCGCGGCCCCTGCGCCCCGGCCCCCGCCCCCGCCCGCCGCCGCGCCCGCATGCGTGTCCATCCTGTGAGTCGGGCGGTGCCTCACGGGCGAACGGCGGCCTGCACATGGTCCTGCACAAACTGCTCGATCTCCGAGCGCAGGAAGAGGTTGGGGCAGAGCTGGTCGAGGCTGAGAGGCTTGCTTGGGTTGGTGGGGTGGCTGCCGGACTTGGACACCCACTCGGCGAGCGCCGAGAACTCGAAGCTCTCTCCGGTGGGCGTGCAGGCGGGCGTGGTCATGATGCTGTGCGTGATAGGGCAGACGAAGCCCGGCGGCACGTCGAGCGAGTCGAGCGAGTCCGGCAGGACGAGGGCGGCAGGCCAGTGCTTTGGCGCTGCAGGAACCGGCGCCACGCGGATGTCGATCCCCACGATCCACCCGAGCATGGCCATTCCCCGCTGAATAAGCTGGAGGCCATCGGCGATCATGTCGGCGATGTTTTCGGCGTCGGGAGCGGGCAGACGAGCGGGAAAGAGCCGAGCAATCGCCCTCCACCCCGCAACCATGTGGACGGGGAAGAAGAAGAAGACGTGGAAAAAGCCCTGCGAGAAGATGAGGTACGCAAGCTGCACGCCCGGCAGAGGCAGCAGGCGTGGGCGATTGCGCTGCAGAGCGTCGCGAGCCATAGCAGCTGGATCGCGTCGCTGGATGAGGCCACACAGCCAGTTCAGGTCCGCACAAATGTGCTCGAAGCCCACGATGAACACGAGCAGGAGCAGGCACGGATCGTCGCGCCACCACGGATTCTCGCCGGCTACGTTTAAACCGATTACGAAATGCAGTGGGGAGATCACGATGCAGAAAAGGAATGCAGTGCGCATGAGCCAGGTCGGCAGGGCTGCAGATTCGCTCTCGTCGGCGCTTGCGTCGCCGAGGAGTGTGGCCGAGAGATCCGAAAGCTGCGTGGTGCCGAGGATGTTTGCCGCGAGCTCCGACAGCAGCGAGCGGTCAAAGAGGACGAGCTCAAGGAGAGTGCTGCGTGGCTGCATCCAGAGCCCGCAGTAGACGTACAGCCCGTACGACTTGCGGGCCAACAGGAGGCGCGGCAGGTGCGGGACCGGATCGGCGGCCGAGTCAGGGGTATTGTCCGTCTGATGCTCCGTGCAGTTTGCGGGTTGAATCGGCGCGGCGCAGCAGATCTGCGTCCTGAGCGGCGCTGGTGGGCTCTCCTGAGCGGCGCAGCAGGTCTGCGTGCGCACACCAACTGCTGCATGGTCACCGAGAGCGTCCCGCCCGCCGAGCGCACCGCCAAACGCTCGGCCAAACGCGATCATGCCCATGACAGAACCGAACATCATTCTCACGACGGGATGCATTTGCGACAGCACGAGGCCGGTACGGAAAGCGCGGCGACCTCTCGGCGGAGGCCGGCGAGTCGAGAGCGAAGAGGCGCCGAGGCAGGCTCTACTGCCGCAGGAAGAATTCTTAAGATACCAGCCTCTCTCACAGCACACTGGCACGACAAGGGCGCGGACTGGCGCGGACTGGCACACACACCGGCTCACCACCGGAGCCGCCTAAGCGACTCCGTTAAGAACGGCAATGCATTCCGCACCGTGCACAATGCCGCTCTCCCCGCACGCTATAGCTCGTTCACCGTCTGCCACGCCACGGCGGTGTGGAGGACGACAGACAAACGCTGCATCTGCAGCCCGTGCCAGTTCTTGGTGGTCCATGTGACCTCGTCCAGGTGCTGAGCGTGCGAAAGTTTGTTGCTCAGCTGGTTCGCCGCCTCCCTCAGGGTGCTGCGAACCTCCTTTCCAAAGCCTCCGAAAGCGGAAAGCCTCAAAATCAAACAAACGTACTACGTAGATCGCAATCCTCTGGCCGGGACCTGGTACCGGAGCTGCGCCCAGCGCGCTCAGCCCGGCACGCCGGCAATCGCCGCCTCGCCGCCTGCAGCCCGCGCTGCAACCCCAGGACCCAGACACACATATAGTCTCATAAAAAAGCCGCGCCGTAGAGACCAGACGCGCCGCGCGCCGCACGTGCGGTCGTGCGCCGCGGCGCGCGCACACATTTTCCGCCGCGCGCTGAGAGCAAGCTGGCGCCAGCACCACCAAACGTGGCTGGCTGCCCCACGTGGACAGACACCGCGCCTTCCGCCTCTCTACCTGCCCTTCTTTTGCTCCGGCGGCTTCGAGATGCGCTCGCGCGCGCGCTTCTCCCAGACGGGGGTCGCGTCACGCGGCTTGCGGGTCACCTGCGCGTGAGAGGGGCGCGTGGGCCGAGGAGGGGGGGGGGGGGGGGGCTTAACGGGAAAAGGAAAGGGCGGGGGAGCGTCCCCCCCCCCCGGGGCACTCAAACTTTGCAAAGTCGCGGCGGCCGTACTCGACGCGCTCATTCCGCCAGTACTCGAGAGGCTGGATGCGGTTGCGCTTCGAGCGGCGCGCGCCCTGCGAGGCTGGGTCCACGACGAGGCCGGTCCGCGCCGCGACTTCGCCTGGCGAGCAGAGGCGAGGGGGGGAGATGGGAGGGAGATGGGCGTTCGATGGAAAAGGCCCGCCGGTGTGCGTGTCTGTGCGTTTGTGCGTGGAAGCGGTGTGTGTGTGTGTGGACAGGAGGGAGCTGCTCCCCTCTCCGCACCTTCGAGGCGGCCGATCCGGTCGAGCGACGTCTTCCGCTTGCGACCCGCCCGCGGCTTCGGCGCGGCTGGCTGCGGCGGCTGCTCGAACTTTTCCTCGATGTTTTGCCGCACGAGCTCGTCGAGTGTCGGTCCGCCGTCGGGCTGCCGTTAGGGTCGGGGCTCGGGTTAGTCGATGGTGGGGCCCCGGTGGTGCCGCAGGCTGCAGGCGGGCGGGCGTCGCGCCGCGGTGTGCTGCTGGCACAAGGCTGCTAGCTGGCGCGCTGCGATGGGAGAGGCCGATCGGGCGGGCAGAGACGGCAGCGGGGCGGCTAGTGTGGGGAGCGGCTAGTGTGCCCCTCGCCTCCTGTGTCTCGTCGCCGCCGCCGTCGCTCCCGTCGAGAGACTCGTTGTCGTCGAACGCAGCGGGTGAGCCCGCGTCCGAGCAGCCGTCCGTCTCCATCGGCGCCGCCTCGTCTGCGCCGCACGACGCGCCTCCCGCCGCAGCCTCGAGCAAGCCCGGCGCGACGGGAGAGGTGCCCAATGAGCGGCGCTGCCGCTCCTCCTCCTCCGCCGCAGAGAGGGGGGACGTGCCCATCGAGCGGCGCAGCGCGGCCGCCTCGTCCGCCTTGGCCAACCTCGACGGGGGGAGGAGCTTCTGATGTGTCCCCGGCGGACCGACGCGGACTCGTCATCCGTCTGCTGCGCCCTCCGCCGCGTCCGTGAACGGTGGCGGGCCTTGCGAGGGGCCGCTTGGCGGCCCACTGCCGTCGTCGCCCAGCGCCATCATCGGAAGCGGCGCCGGCTCCTCGCACCCTGAATCCGGCGGGGGCGGCGACGCCCCGCCCGCCGCCTTTTCCGAGACAGGAGCGGGCGTCCGCATTACCTTGTTGGAGCGGCGGAAGGGCGTGGGCGCGAGCTGCGGGTCGAAGGCGGAAGGCGCCGCCTGGGGGTCCTCCGCCGCAGAGGAGCATCCCGCTGCGCCGGCGGCGGCCGGCGGCGGCTGCTGCTGCCGCAGCGCTGCCGACGCCTCGAGCAGCGGGCCGCGCGACTGCGTGAGGACGCCGAGCAAGTCGAATGTCCAGTCGCGCGGCGTCACCTGCCGACCGCTGCCCGCCTTGCGCCGCTGGCGCTCGTCCCGCCGGACGCGGCTCATCGCGGTTTCAAGCAGCTCCAGGAAAACAAGAAAAACGCGGGCGCGCCGCCCTGGATGTGAGGCTAATGACTGCGCTCCAAGTGCTCCAAGGCGCGCATGGCGCTGGCAGCCGCCATTCGAAATCAATCCACAAAAAGAATTTTTGCCGAGTGGCGCTTTGACGATACTCCCATCCCTCCCTTGGCGCTTGGGTTGTCTGTTTTCTTTCTTTCTTTCTACTACAACGCATATCCCTCCCTTGGGGTGTCGGTTTTCTTTCTTTCTCTACTACAACGCATCGCAAAGCTATGTCGCTCACTCCCGGTCTCAAGGCACAAGGGACCAGGAAGGGAATATACTTGCGAGCGCAGCCCGCTGCGCTGCCCAAGGGCGGCAGCCTCGGCAAATGTTACACTGTCTCCTCGGAGGCGGAGAAGGCCTCGGCAATATTACACTGTCTCCTCGGAGAAGGCCTCGGCAATGTACATGAACGTAATCGACCGTGGCGTTCCACGTAGGATGAGGCGGAGGGTGTGGCCACTGAAGGCATTTTTCGGCACCCTCTGTCGGCGGTCGCCTATTGGTGCAGGGGGTCAAGGTCACGGGCATTGAGTCTCGTGAGGGTGAAGCGGCTGGCTGCACACCTAGTTGTCGTCGTCGTCGTCGCCGTGGTCGACACAGTCGACACAGTCTTGTGGCTGACCACCATCAATAGATGCAAAGAGCAGCGTGCGGCTTCCGTGGGCGGTTTCACCGGGGCTGCAGCACTGGGGGGTTGTGTCCTTGACGCCAGCGTCAAAGGAGCCCCACTTTGAGTCCTCACTGAACCGGTCCAGGCTTGGAAAGGGAATCGGATTGATCTTTGCCGCACCGGCCCTGAACGCCCCCATCTCCTTGAGCTGCTTCAGATCGATCTTGTTCCACTGCATGTTCTCGTATGTCCGGTAGTAAAAGTACGGCCCGTGCTCCTCGTACTTTGGAACCTTGAGCACTGCCCACACCGTGTACTCCGAATAGGCTACTCCTCGGTCCACGCTGCCGCGGACAATGTGCACGTTGTTGAGGAGGCCCGTCCCCACAACCAGGGCCTGGTCGAGCGTCTTTGGCTTGAGCGAATCTTCCTGCATCACAGTCTCCTTAATTAGGAAGGTGCGCACGAACCGATCAGCCGGCGTGTAAGAGCCAGGGAGCAGCCGCGTTTCCATGCCGTTGGAGGTGCTCTTGGGCGTGTTCACCTCCACATTCTTGCGCTGGTCCTCTGGGTCTTCGTCGGTGTACGCCTTGCAAGCGGGCCACTCTTCGTCATCGCCGCCGGACGTAGACATTGATTTCGAGAACTGACCGCAGCTCGTTTTGTTTGGAGCATTGGGAATTGTCTTCACGCTATACCCAGCGAATTGGTCAAGGTAGCCGAGGTGCCAATCAAAGGAGGGGTCGTTCGTCAGCACGCCCACGTTGTTGTTGTTGTACACCTTGAGTTCTCCGTCGATGAACTCAATGGTGACAGCGTCGCCGTTGGAGTCCGCCACGAGCCAGTGACATCCGGGGGCCTTCTCGTTAAGCCCGCGATAGACACGGACGCCCTTGAGATAGTCGATCGCTTCTTTGACCGTCGAGTACTGCGCAAGCAAGTGTTTGGCAACTTGGTGGTGTCCAATGTTGTTCGACGCCGAGGTCGTCGTCTGGTATTCTGCCGAATTGTGAACGTTTGTGGAGACGGTGAGGCCCTCCTCATTGATGCCATCTAGCGTAGCAATGTTTTGCAACGTCACGTTCTGACCATCTATCGAATTCGTTGTGATGCAAACCATGCCGTAATTGGATGGTTCGCCGGTGTCTGCCCCGTCGTCCGTGTGGCCCTTCGGGTGGAAGAAAATCTTCTCGGGGTCGTGAGATTTCCACCAACTCCACTCCAACGAGCGGGCGATCACGAGCCCGTCGTGAAACGGCACCACTGCAGCGGTGCACGCCCAAGAAGGGACCACAGCGGATAGGATGAAAACGAGCGGCAGCTTCTGCATATGTGACGAGGCGCCTACGCGAGCACGGCGAGCGAGCGGGCTGTGTCCGGAGGGCTCGCGCGGGGCAAGTGCGGGGTATGGACGCAAATCGTCGATGGCAGTGGCGGCACCGCGAGAGGGAGTGGGCAGGCGGTGAGAGGACGAGGGGGGTGCAGCCCGAGAGGGGTGCAGCCGCTCGCGCGGCGAGCGAGGGCGCATCGCATGGTGGGGGAAGTGAGGGGGCGGCGGGTTCCGTGAGCAATAGGCGTCGCGGGGGTCTAGGTGTGCAGCTCGCGGCGGCACAGTCGGGCGCAATGCGGCGCGGCAAGCGCGAGCGGACGAGGAAAGTGCATGGTATGCCTCGTGGAGATGTCAGGCAAAGGCCGTCGGGGACTATTTTCAATCAAAAAGAGCGCCTTCTATCGAGGTCTCGCGAGCTCAATTTTCGTTTTTTATGGGAGTTTGTGGCGATCGCGCGACGTAGTCCCACCGACTCTAGGGTACCCAAACTCCGGGCCGGTGTGCCAGGAGCGAACCTTAACGACCGCCCAGAAGCTTTCTGAGCGAACCAATCGGGCCAGGATCATCAGCATATGTCCCCTCCACAACATCGTGGGCGTTTGAGCCGTATTTGAGGAGCACCGCCACTCTGAAGTTCGGCCGGGTGGTCTGCAGACCCCCCCCCCCCCCCCGGAGCAGCAGAGGCTCCGTGGGGTCGCACCCAAATCCGCTAGGTTGGGCGTGCTTTCACAGCCTGTTTTGCACGTGTGGCCGCGTATCTTGGCTAAGATACGCGCCGGCACACAGAATGACACGTATCAGCCCCGCCGAGCTCGATGCGCGGCAGCGGGTGAGGGCGGCTATTCTCCCCCGAGGCGACGAAGGTCGCCCGGGACTGGCTCGCCAACGAGCTCTACGAGCCGTCCCGGCGCGGCAAAATTGATGCGGCCTGCAGTCGAGCCTGCAGGGACCGAAAGGTCGCCGACCTGATCACGGCTGCCGGCGCCTCGGCGCCGGCCGACGCCGTGTTCGGCGGCAGGTTCGCGACGGGCGAGACGCCCCGCTCGACGACCTCCGCCTCCGAGGCGGACGAGGGCGACGGCGCCGGCGGCGATGGCGGGACCGGCTTCGACCTGTTCGGGCCGGACCCCACCCCCATGGAGGACCTTTGAGGCCCTCCCCAGTCTCACCCCACCTTACCTCTGCCCCCCCCTCCCCCCATCCCTCTGCCTCCCATAGGGCAGGATAGCACTAGCATATGCGCCTAGTGCGCACACTGGGCCCACATAGATGTGACCCGCCCGCTCGAGTGCGGCGTCCGGATGCTAGTGCTTGAGAAGACACCACAAACGCGGCACGGCCCGTTTTGGATGTCTGCGGAGATTCTGTCTTAGCACACACAGTGAGTCATTCGGAGTCATTCGATGGCCAGAGTGCGATTGTGTGTGCGGGAGTTGGTTTGTCGGGAGGGAGGGGCAGGCTGCTCACCCACGTGCACCGGGCCAGTGCTTGCACTTTGAATGCCGTGGGGCTCCTGCCCGTGTCCGGGCGTGGAGATGCGAGGGTCGCCCCCCCTTGCCCCACCACTTTGTGTGTGTGGAGAAATCTACCTTACCTTACCTTACCTTAGGAGCCCGGCTGCCCCCGCGTTTTCTTCTTCCAGTTCCACTTGTGTTGCCAGTCCGCGCCAGTCCGCGCCCTTGTCGTGCCAGTCTGCTGTGAGAGAGGCGTGTGCTTAAGAATTCTTAAAATACAAGCCTCTCCCACAGCATGTGTGTTTAAGAATGCTTCTTCCCCCGGCGCCCGCTGCCGTAGCCCCTCGCAGCAGCCATAGCCCCCTCGCCAGACACGCCGCCGCCCGCCCGCCTCCTCGACCTCCCCACGGACCTCCTCTTGCGCGCCCTCTCTCGCTGCGACCCGGCCGACATCGCTCGCGTCGCGGCCGTCTCGCTGCTCTTTCACGACTCGCTCGCGGAGGAGGCCATCCGCTTGTGGGCGCAAGAGCGCGGCTTCGAGCTTCCGGCGCAGCCAGAGGGCAGAACTGCGCCTTGCGGTGACTGTGCCTTAAGAAAGAAAAAACAGACAACCCAAACGAGGGATAGGGGAGGAGGACAGGGTCCCCACCTACACGAGCAGGATTTTGGAAGGACGATCAGGGTGACAGGTGGGGCTCTCCTGCTCCTGACAAGGGACACGACAAGCTCGCAGCGCGGTGCACGGTGGACTCCCAACTCCACTGGCGGTCTCACCTCAGGCTAGCGACCTTCCTCCGGCTTCTCACCTGCGCAGAGATTGGCCCGGACGGCCGCCGCTAATTCTTAGAGAGAGGCTTCGTGTTTAAGAATTCTTTTCGCCAACAAGCGCCGTCTTGCGGCCCCCGGCTGGGGGTGGTGGTGTTCAGCAGTCAATGCAAGCCTGGAATTTGACGGACATCGAGAACCTTGCCGAGCCGATAGAGGTGACTACCTCTCGCCGCGGCGAGACCGGCGCGTACGAGCACCGCGTCGGGTACAGGGCGCTGGTCGACGTCCACGGCCGCCGCTCCGGGCCGTCTCGCTTCTGGCGCTGGCTTCCTGACACCTACCTCGATCAGCTTAGCCGCAAACACCCGGCTGCAAACCTGCGGGCGCAGGCCGCGATTACCACGCGCTCCTACGAGCACAGCCTCGACTGCGAGCCAGCGTCCGAGAGCGACGACGGCTGGGGCTACACGCCAGACCCCGCCGCCGACGCGTCGACGATCCGCGTCCGGCTGCGCGGGCAGCCTGCCTTCGCTGCCGTCGAGGCGCTGGACGACGAGACGTCTGCCTCATCGCAGACGAGCACGCCGGCCAGCGCCACAAAGGTGCGGCGGCGGCGAGGCGGCGAGGGCGAGGCGTGCGTGCAGCAGGAGGGAGGCTGCGTCGAGTGCTCCTCGGCCGCCGAGGAGGAGGCCGCCGCTCAGCAGCCGGGGGCGAGTCTGCCCAGCGGCGGCGCCGGCGGGCCGCCGCCCTTTGACGACGTGCGGCTCCGGCTCCGCGGCGAGAGGGACGCCACCACCTCCCGGCTTGCGCGAGATGCCCCTCTCGGCCGGCTGAAGGCCGTCGCCCCTGTTGCGCCGTGCGGCGGCGGCGAGGTCGGTCCGTGCGACCGACCGTCTTCTGAGCAGGCCACGCGTCGTACACACCCACACACCCACACACCCACACCCACTCCTCACCTGATGTGTGTGTGTGTGTGTGTGTGTGTGTGTGTGTGTGTGTGTGTGTGTGTGTGTGTGTGTGTGTGTGTGTGCAGAAGCTCGCCCTACCGCACCTGTAGGCCGGCCCGCCACGCCGGCGCAGTGGCCGGGCGACGCTGACGCTCGAGCCGCTGGCGAGGGAGGCGCTCAGCCTCGCCTCGCGCAGGTATGGCGGCGCGAGTCCCCGGGCTCGCCCATGTGGTGGATGGATCCATTCATTCGTGACGTGGCTCCTTCGCAGGTACGGCCGCGAGGTTCTCGGCCGGCCGGTCGAGGTTTGGTGGGCGGACGAGCGGCGCTGGTTCGGAGGGAGGGCGCGCGACCATACCACGCGGCGACGCCTGGGCTGCATCTCGGCGAGATCTCGGCTGAAGCTCGGCGGAAGCTCTCGGCTGTTTAGGTCCGCGACTACAACGCGACGGACGGCTCTCACCTCGTCGTGTACGACGAAGGCGCGCGCAGCCACATGCTCCGAAGTAGAAGTGAGCGAAACTATCTTGGATGGCTCGCGAGCTTGTGTGCGGGGGGGCGCCCGACCAGTGGCTTGTGTGCGGGCACAGTGACAACGGGTTCATACTCGCTTCTCGTACAATGAGAGCAAGTGACCAGGCGAGCAAGGGTGGGAGGCTCTCGGGCGCGAGGAGGCGCTCGGCTGCCTCCGGTGGGGCGGCGGCGGTGGGCTGGGCGGCGGCGGTACTGGGCGGGCGGCGACCTCTGGGGCGGCGCGGCGGCGTGGCGGAGGGAGGCAGCCGGAGAAGGGGGCCACCAAACCGGGCGTCAAGAGGCGCGCGGCGGCGGCGGAGAGCGAGGTCGGGCCGCCGCCAGACCCGCCGCGCGACGTGCAGAGACGGGTCGTCGGTTCGGAGGGCGGTTCGGAGCAATGCGCTGGGGTGTTCAGCGATTCGGAGGAGGAGAAGGAGCCGGTGGAGACGGAGGAGGGGGAGCTGCTGCCGCAGCAGGAGGCGGCGGTGGTGGTGGAGGAGGAGGTGGTTGAGGAGGAGGAGGAGGAGGAGGAGGGAATCGAGGCGGAGGTGGAGAGGCCCGCGCAGCGGCTGGAGGTGGCTGCGGAGGTGAAGGAGAGGCCGGCGCAGCGCCGCCGCGTCGGAGCAAGTGTCGGAGCCGCCTCGCACGAGAGGTGGGACGCGTCGGACGACTTTGAGCGGCGGCTCCGCAGCCTCAACCGGCAGGCGGAGTGCGCCGTCGCCCTCGACTGCCTCGCTGCCGCCGTCGCCCCTCGCCCGACTGCTGGCCCGCTCGAGCCTTGTCGTCTCCGGGCTCCTCCACCTCCGCCCCCCGCCAGACCCGCGGCCCCGCCCCCCGCGGCCCCGCCCCTCGCGGCCCCGCCCCTCGCGGCCCCGCCCCTCGCGGCCCCGCCCGTCGCGGCTCCGCCGCTCGCGGCCCCGCCCCCCGCGTGCCGGGGCTCGTCGTCTCACTCGTGGAGCAGCCTGCCCGACCTCGTGTCGCGAGCGAGCTCCGCCGCCTCCGCGTCGATCGACTAGGCACACCCAGTCTACTCGTCAACCCCGCCACAGGGGCGAGGACGCCGCGATGGCGGGAGATGCCACGAGGGGTCGCGCCGGTGGCGTTCCAGGCTCCCTTGCAGCTTGCTCAACCGGCGGCCCTCGTGCATTCGCAGCATGTCATATCGCATTCTTTGCAAAAATGGCGTGTTGACTGTTGTTGTTGCCCATGGCGCCATGCAATTTTGTGTGACAATATGGCCGAACCAGCTCTCATCACTGGTCTCTGGTAGGACGGGAACGAGATGATCTAGAGCTAGAGTAGCTCTCGCACCCCGTCTGTTTTCCTTTCCTTTTTCTCTACAACACCCTCTCTTTTCCTCTCTATTTCCCGGGAAATTTCCGTGTCGTCAAATTTTTGGGCTCTGAGCCGAGTCTGAGGCTGGTTTGGGCCCCAAATCAGCCAAATTTTAGGCCAAATCGGCAAAATGCCGGGAATTTTGCGGAGAACCCGTAAAACCTGGAAATTGCCCTGCGACCGCCTGGGTATGTTGTCGATTTCCTCAATTTTGCCTCAGATTTTGCCCCAGACCAGCTCTCAGACTCAGGGAAACTCGCGAGTTTCCAGAATGGAGCACCAAGCACCCTCTGTTTTCCCGGGAAATTTCCGGAAACGCAAAGTGCTGGGGACCCTCTGTTTTCCTTTTGAGAGCGCCTTCGTTGTTAATAGTACAAACCCAATGGTCCCTTGAGCGGTCCGTCGTTGCAGTCGCACACACTCACACGCCACGCCGCACCGCGCGCCCACCCGCTGCCCCGCCCAGGCGGGAAAGAGATGAGGAGATGGGACAGCGAAGGAGGAGCCTCAAACACGTATGGGAGGGTTCAGTTGTGCGCCACTTTTCCTTTTTGTTTGCCGGAATACCTTGTACATCCCAAAGGGCGCTGACCTCGTCGCTGCCTCGTGTCTCGCGCCTGTCGCCAAAGAATCCTTGTCTTTCGCGCCCTCCCTTCTGTCCACCTCCGGGCCCATTGATTTCTTTTTTGCTCGGTCTCCTCAAGTCTTTCATCGTCTTCCGAGAGTTCCAGTTCCTCCTCGCCAGTCATGCTTGCGCTGGCTGCTCTCATTGCGGGTTCATACTGCACGCTCTTGCCCTTCGTCGGCTTCTTCATCCGGCTCACAAAAAGCGTCGTTCTCAACGACGCGCTCACTCTGTTTTACGCCGTCGTCTACTGGGCGCCCTTCTCGTTTGTCATGAACGTCTACGCGCGCCTCTTCCTCTCGCACAAGGTGGCAACCTTCCGGAATGCCCGCCCCTCCTTCGTCAAGAAGAACGCCTACAACTACTCGTCCGACACCGACATCTTCTACTCCAAGGATTACTCCGACCTGGACGACTCGTTAGAAGAATGGGGCACCGTCGAGTACCTTCCCTTTGTGTACAACGCCGTCCTCAACAAGTACAATACCCGACTCAACTTTAAGCAGGACCTGCACGGGCCGCTGCTTGATCTTGTCACCCATTCGACCGACGACGAGTTCCGCGTCCTCGACATCGGACCTGGGACGGGCAACTCGACGATGGACATCTCGTCCGCACTGCGCAACGCGTGAGTGCCACTTCTTGAGACTCATCGCTTGCCCACCATGCACTCGCCTGCCACTCCTCGCCGCGCCTCGGCCTTACGCAACCCAGCCTACTCTGGTCTTCCCGGCTGCCGGCGATGCGTCACCCCGTGCGCCCAGGTGCGTCTGCTGCCTCGACATCTCGGAGCGGCTGCTCAAGATGTGCAAGGCGCGCAATCCGCACGCGTACTGCTTCAAGGGCTCGATGGAGGACACTCTCTTTGAGGATGACTCTTTCGACGTCGTCTACAACTTTGGCGGCATCAACGAGACCGACATCGACAAGTCGCTAGCTGAGACGGTGCCACCTCGCTGCTGCCTCCCCAAGGATCCTGAATCTGCCATCCCTCACCGCCACCCACCCTGCTTCACCAGTGGCGTATCGCCAAGCCCGACTCACTGATCGTGCTCGCCGACGAGAACTTCGACGCGACCTCATGGCTGAGGAAGCTGTGGGTGGTGTTCATCTCCAACCTGACCTTCATCCACAGCTACTACTGGGACATGACCGCCTCGCGCCAGCCCAAGCAGCCCTTCCCCAAGATTCGCAGTTGGTGCCCCGCCGCCGTGCCCCGCCATCGTGCTGCCTCGATACCCACGCTGCCGCTCATCGCACCGCCCCGCACCGCACCGCGTTGCTGGCACTGTCGCGGTCTCACGGCGCGCCTCCCGTCGCCGTGGTCTCGCAGGCTCAAATCGCATGCGGGTGAGTACGAGGTGCTCTACGACGGAGTCAAGCCCGGCCTGTTCTTTACAATGGTGATCCGCAAGACCTCGGCCAAGACTCGCAAGCGCGGTCCCCAGCCTGCCATCCCCGTCTTCCGCCTAGTCGACTCTGGCACTGTGATGTGAGGCTTCGGCCGCTGTGCGTTGCTGTGCGAAAGTAGACGAGGAGAGGCGTGGCGCGCACATGGACAGCGCTCGCTCTTTAGTCTGTCTACTTTGTTTACTATCCCATGTGTGAACAAAAAACAATGTATTTTACATACTTCTTCAAGCTTTGCAAGACGTCAAGTCGCTTGCGAGCTTGCGCTGCCGCCGGTCCACGAGCAACACCAATGTCAGACCAATGTAGTCGCCGCGGTTGTGTGGCGCAACGTTCAGCCCCGCGCCTCCTCCGTTCGCCCGGCCCGCTGCCTCCTACCCTTCCTCGTACGTCTCACTCTCGCTGTACGCCTGCTGCTCGCCATACTCGGCGCCGAGGTCCTCGCGGAGGGCCGACGCGTTGGCGAGGAGCTGCCAGGGCACCGGCCGCCGCGGCAGCTGGCCGGAAGGGAGCTGCCAAGGGCACACGTTGGAGCGCGTGTGTGCGAGAGCGCGGCAGAGGCGCCTGCCCGAGGCGGTGGCTCGCAAGCCGTGGCCGCCCATGCACCTCGACGGAGACAGTGAGCGGTCGGGTGAGGGGGCGGGACGAGGGTGAGACGAGGAGGGCGGAGGTTTGGAGCCGCGCACCGCATCTCGTTGCGCTCCCGCTTGCCCAGCCGGCGGAGCACCAGCTTCGCCTTGTCACAGCGGCTTGATGGAGGGCGGCCGTTCGCGCCGCCCAGCACCTTCTCGGCCTCGTGCACCATCCGCGCCTTTTCGAGCTCGGCCGTTAGCTGTGCCCGCCGAGCCGCAAAGGCGGCGCCGAGGGAGGAGATGCGCGCATCAAAGCGGAGAGAGAACTCGTCGTACAGACGGTGGTCGAACGGCGCCTGCCGCTTGACCGTCGCCTCGCACTCGGCCATGTCCGGGCAGGCGCGCGCGGTGGTCGCCTCGCGATCCTCCGACCCCTCGGCGACGTACCTCCCCTTGGCCGACTTGACGGGCTGCGAGGGACGCGTGTAGAGCAAATGGGGGAGGCCGGCCAGGTCGGCGATCAGGAGCAGCGTCTCGTCGAAGCGCTCCACCGTGCCGACCACGTCGTACCGCAGCAGCGAGTCGCGCACGCGCTCGTACGCCGCCCGGTCCACCTCGCGAAAGCGCACATTCCGCTCGCTCGAGCCCGGAAGCATGTGCTCCGCATGGTCGCTGAACCACGGCTTATACAGCACGGCCGTCTGCAAGTTGGGCGGCAGCCAGTCGGCGAGCGTACGGCCGAACTTGCGCGGCTGGGCCGCCTGCTTCGAGGCGATGGACCAGCGGTGAAAGGAGAGGTAGTAGGAGAGCGGCGACCGCAGCCGCGTCACGAGCACCACGCGGCAGCGCGCGGCCACCGCCGCCGACGCGGCGAGCCCACCGTCCCCGCCCGCGCCGACGGGTGCGGGCGCGGGTGGCGGCGACAGCTCCTCTCTCAGCGCGGCGAGCTCGCTCACGTTGAAGCCGCCGGCAGGGTAGTGAAACTCGGCACAAAGGCGAAGCGCCGTCTCGGGCGCGCCGCCCCCGCTCCCCTGCTCCCGCAGGTAGTCGACCAGTGCGCTGCGTACGACGGACCACTGGTACGCGTAGGCGGCGTACCCCCAGTAGACGCACGCGCCGCGCGCCTCGTTGGCGAGGAACAGCTCGCGCATCGTCGAGCCGCCGTTCTTGTGCACGTGCCGGTCGAGCAGCGCCGTGCACTGTCCGCCTCCGCCGCCTCCGCCTCCGACCGCGCCCAACGGTGGGGGCGCCGAAGCGCTTGGTGGCAGTGCGAGCGCCGCTGCCTCGACGTCGTCGCTGGCACACTGTGGCTCAGGTGCCGTCAGGTGCCACTTGACTCCCTCCCTCACAGCGACGAGCCGCGGCTGATCCTCGCGGCCGGAGCATGGCTGAGGGGCGAGGGGCACGTCATCGCCCCTCTTGAGGAAGCACGAGGGCTCACGGAAGACGGCGTGGCTACAGGACGGCCCGGCTTCCGCGCAGAGGCGGGAGCACTCCACCAGGTCGCGCGCAGGGTGCTGCTTGCACCATGCGCTCTTTGACTTTTTGCACCAACGGCACTTTCGCGCAAAGACACGGATATCGATGCACTCGGTCGCGTTGGCAAGCACGTATGGGACCCAAACAAAGCCGTGTGAGCCGAGCGGTGGTGGCGGTGGTGACGGGCCAGTCGGAACGGGAGGCGGAGAGTCGTGCCGGGGTGATGGTGGTGGCGGCGGCGGCGGCGGTGGCGGCGGCGGCGGCGATTGTCGCGGGAGTGTCGTCCTTGCGCGAGAACGGCTGGGTGAGGAGTGGGGCTGGAATGAAGGCGGGAGCGGGATGGAGCGCTGATGCTGCGTCATTCGCCACAGCTCATTGAACCAGACAAAGAAGAGAATGCCAAACGTCGCCAGCGCCATCACTGGCGGCCTCGCCGCTCTGCCCGGCCGCACGGCGGGCTCGGACGGCACGAAGGCCGCCGGCTCTCGCGGGACGGAGCGCTGGAACATGATCGTGCGACCGGGCAGAGCGCCGCAACGCGGGCTGCCGGCCGCTGGCCGAAGAAGAGCGCGGCGGGCGCGCGGAACTTGGGCGAGAGACTTGTTCCGCTTCGTTTCGGCCACGTGGGGGTGGACAACCCCTCCCTTCGCGCTCGGTCAGGGGTAGTAAAGGGCACTCGGCTACTGCTTGCCAGCGGCACAGAAAAAACAAGAGAACAACCGTTCACTTGAACAGCCGTTCTCCGATCTCGAGATCGCCGCGCTGCTCCCCTTACATCTACTTAGCTCCGTCCGCTGTTCGTTCGGTCGGTCCCCGCCCGCGCCGGTGCACGCGCGCCGGATGCCCTCTCGGAGCCGTGACACGGGGCAGACGAAATCCCACACTGGTGGATTTGGGGGCGATGCGGACCCCCTAATGCCAAAGGCCCGGGCCGCCGGGGGTAGTCCGATGTCCGTAGACCGTAGAGTCGGCTAGGCTAACACCCTCCCGCACACTTGTGGGTCTTGCAAACCAGATTTTTTAAATGCCAAAAGAAAAGGGTGAGGGACCCCGCGGGACTGCAACACCCAACAGCAACGTGCAAGCAACACGGGGCAAACGTGGTCTCGGTTTCCTCGTGCTCGTCTCAAACTCAAATCAAATAAATATACACAACTCACCTAACCCCTATTTCGGTCTCACACCGCGCTAAAGCCGCCGTCTGCGAAGACGTGCGATCCGGTGACGAAGCTGGAGTCGTCCGAGAGGAGGAAGAGGGCGACCTGAAAAGCGACAGGGAGGGGGCGGCTCGCACGGCAAATCGCTGCTACACAGCTCTATCGGCAGGGCCGGCAGGGTGGGGACTCGCCTTGGCGATGTCGTCGGGCTGCCCGAGCCGGCCCTGCGCCTCAGCGATGTCCTGCGAGGCGGGGACGAGTGGCGCGAGGGTCGGGCGCGCATGGCTCGCCTTGCCCGCGGCGAGGCGAGCCTCTCCCTCTCGGGATGGGGCCGCGCTCTCCTGCTCCTGCTCCGTACGCACTCTTCCCTCAGGGGCTCTCACAGAACTGTCCCTTGAAGGTTCACGGGGCCGACTACAGTGGAGAGCGGAGAGAGGAGTGCTCCTGCTCCGATGCCGGCACGCCGAGCGCAGTGAGCTCGCGGATCTCCTTGCGCCCGTGTGGCGTGTCGACGAAGCCGGGGCAGACGGTGTTGCACCGCACGCCGCGGTCGCGAAACTCCACCGCCACCTGACGGAAGTCGCCGGCGCAGGCAAGTCTCGCACACGCACAAGTCTCGCGCGGACGTTTGCATGTACAATTTGTGTGCTGGATCGGGCGGTGGTGAGGGCTGTGGCTGTCGCACCGCCCTAGCGAACATGTGACACGCCCCCTTGGACGCGTCGTACAGCACCTGGGAGGAGAGCAGCACCGCGGCCGTTATAGAGGCTCCGTCCACAGTGCACGCCGCCGTCCACGCATGCCGCACGCAACCGTTGCACCAAGTTAAAAGAATTTGAGTCATCTAGAAGCCCCGAGCGCCTCGCCCGGCGTCGCGAACACAGCAGAGATGGAGGAGGTGCAGACGATGGCGCCGCCGCCCGCCTTGAGCATGCCCGGGAGGACCGCGCGCGTCATCAGAAACATGGACGTGACGTTCTTCGCGAAGAGGGCGTCCCACTCTGCCAAAGTGAGGTCGAGGAACGGCTTGACCGACAGCCCTCCCGCGTGGTTGAAGAGGCAGACGCACGGCCCGTGCGCAGCCTCCGCCGCCGCGACCGCTTCCGACACCTACCCGCGCCGACGCTGGCGTGACGCACGGCCCGTGACAACGATCGCGCGGCGGCGGCGGAGCCTGGCGCTCGCTGGTCAGGTCGCACGCCACAGCGATCGCGACGCCGCCCGCTGCACGGATCTCGGCCGCGACAGCCTCGGCGCCGGCGGCGTTGACGTCCACCACCGCGACCTTCGCGCCTTCGGCCGCAAAGAGCTTGGCCGAGGCGGCGCCCATGCCCGACGCGGCACCGGTCACGATCGTCGAGCGGCCCTCGAGCCGACCTGTCCTTCTATCGCACTCGACCTGAGTGGCGGCCAAGAGGCTCGAGCCCGCAGCCGCCGCCGCGAGGCGGGCAGAGGGCCGAGCGAGGAGGCGGAGCATGTCGATGCGTTAGGAGCACGGTGTTGGGGTATGGGAGAGATGGGCAACTCGGCAAATCCGCCGACCGCCGGCCCGCCGAGCATGTCGGACTTTTTCTTTTTTGTTCCCGGTGGAAAGAGGTGTAGTTTATTTTTGCTTGGGGCGGCCAGCATTCTGAAATTCTGGAAAAACCTGACCGGCCCCTGCGGTGCCCCTACCTACCTACCTACCTACCTACCCTACTGTGTGAGTGAGTATTCTTGATACGAAACCACACACACACACCTACCCTACTTATGGGAAACTAAAAAAGAAATCACGGCATGGGTAAGGTGGGGTACTATACCAACTAAAGTGATGGCTGGTGGTACTCTCCTGCAATCACAGTCCTTCCTGTGACATGGCAGGCCACTATCAAGCCCTACAAGCACCAGATCACCCACTTGGGGAGGGTTGACGTCGTGATGCGGTGCCCCTACCTACCTACCTACCTACCTACCCTACTGTGTGAGTGGAGTATTCTTGATACGAAACCGGGGAGGAACGGGGCGAGCCCCCTCCAACCCACCCGCGCTAGGTCTCGGGGGACGAAGGGGTCACACCCGACGACCTCGGGAACTAGCCGGGGCAGTCGGAGAAGTGGCAACTCCGTGCACTGACGGTCGGCCGTCAGAAAACACGCCTCCGTGGCTCGGGTTACACCAATCCTCGCTACCCAACGCGGCCAAAGGATATCCACCTCGAGAACCTCGCTCGAGAGAACACACACACCTACCCTACTTATGGGAAACTAAAAAAGAAATCACGGCATGGGTAAGGTGGGGTACTATACCAACTACAGTGATGGCTGGTGGTACTCTCCTGCAATCACAGTCCTTCCTGTGACATGGCAGGCCACTATCAAGCCCTACAAGCACCAGATCACCCACTTGGGGAGGTTTGACGTCGTGATGCGGTGCCCCTACCTACCTACCTACCTACCTACCCTACTGTGTGAGTGAGTATTCTTGATACGAAACCACACACACACACCTACCCTACTTATGGGAAACTAAAAAAGAAATCACGGCATGGGTAAGGTGGGGTACTATACCAACTAAAGTGATGGCTGGTGGTACTCTCCTGCAATCACAGTCCTTCCTGTGACATGGCAGGCCACTATCAAGCCCTACAAGCACCAGATCACCCACTTGGGGAGGGTTGACGTCGTGATTTTCGCCGATCTTTTTTTGCTGTGAAAATTCCGGCGTGAAGAGAGGGAAAAACCCAAACCCCCCAGACCTACCCTACCTACCCCGGCATGCTGGCCGCCCCAAGCAAAAAGAATACACGCAGGTGGAAATTCTTGTTGCAGCAACTGGGCTCGTGCACGGCACGATCAGCGTGATGAAGAAGCCCACATCATGGCAGCGACGCAAGGCCGCAAAGCTTGGCTTGGCACCGGCCGAGGTGCAGAAGCGATGCAAGAAGAAGAAGAGCCTGGCCGGTCCAGCGCAGGCGCTGCGCGACGCGTGCAAAAGGGCGAAGGACGCATCCGCTGCGTCGCGGGAGCGGCACCGGCTCGGTCAGCCGCCGCAGCCAGAGGACGCGGCGCTGGCGGAGGAGTACTCTCAGGCCAAGGCCGCGCTACGCAGGGCGCTCGAGGCGGAAGCCAGAGAGAAGGCGGCTGCCGCTCAGAAGACTGCAGCCGGGACCATCCCTGCTGAACCTGCGTCGACGGCCAAGGGCGCGGCTGCGGAGCCGGCGTCGGTGACGCCTGCGTCGACGGGCAAGGGTGGTGGCGGGACGGAGGCCGCGGCGGAGGCCCCGCCTCCTCCCTCCAAGAAGGAGCTGAGGCGGCGCGAGGCGGTGGAGCGGGCTGTGGCGGAGCGGGCGGGCGAGGGCGGCGGCGACGAGCGCGAGCCGTGGACGTGCGAGACGTGCGGCGTGACGATCCTCGTGCGCCCCGACGGGCGGGCGCGGCAGCAGCACCTCCAGGGAAAGGCTCACGTCAAGAGGCTCAGGGCTGCGCCCGCAACCGCCGCCTCCGCCGGCGCTCCCTCTGCGGCCTCCGCGCCAGCAACCGCCGCCGCGCCCGCCGCCGCGCCCGCCGCCGCGCCCGCCGCCGTGCCCGCCGCCGTGCCCGCCGGCGTGCCCGCCGGCGGCGGTACGGGCTACTACGAGTGCAAGCTCTGCTCGTGCACGCTCGCCTCCTCCGCCGGCGCTCTACACGAGAAGGGCGCGAGGCACCGCGAGAGGGTGCAGCGGCTCGCCGCCTTTCTGAGGGAGCGGTCGGCGGCCGACGCGGAGCGCCCGCTCAAGCCCGGCGACTGGATCTGCACCGCCGCCTCCCACGCGCCGCAGCTGGTGTACGCAAACAGAGACAGCTGCTGCCGGGCCGGCTGCGGACGCGCGCGCGCGCAGGGGCTGTCGCAGTCGGAGGCGGCCACCATGGTTGCTCGGGGCCGCGAGGGAGGCGCATAGTCCATGTGCATAGAAATAAATATTCTTTACTTCCAACACCCGGACGTTCCCAGGGTGATGGAAGGTTCGACGCACCCCCGGACTGGGCAGAGATCTGGCAGAGTCCAGAGAGAGGTCCACGCCAACGTGCAACGACTGCAACGTAAAGACGATGGGGGAGGTGGTCTGTACTGCTACGCATATGTAGTCGCCCAGAATGCACAGATCGGCCATGTTATGTAAATACGCGCCCGCGATCCATAGTGCGTCGGCCAGACGTCGCGTATTTCGGTGTCGTGCCCGAGCCAAGTGGCGCCTGAGGGAGCTACAAATGTCTTGCGTATTACGAATCTGTCTTCTGCATCCACCTTCGGCCGATCGGGGTGTGCCTCTCAAGGCGCGCTGCGCCCCACGTACTACGCACACGCATTCCGGATTCGAGTGAGAAGTGGTGGCCGACGGGGGTTACGCCTCACGCATTACGCATACGTTTTACGCATTCGCACGCCCAAGGTGTCGGAGAGGGCCTACGCACCACGTACTACGCACACGCATTCCGGATTCGAGTGAGAAGTGGCGGCCGGCGGGGGTTACGCCTCACGCATTACGCATACGCTTGATGCATTCGCACGCCCAAGGTGTCGGAGAGGGCCTACGCACCACGTACTACGCACACGCATTCCGGATTCGAGTGAGAAGTGGTGGCCGACGGGGGTTACGCCTCACGTATTACGCATACGTTTTACGCATTCGCACGCCCAAGGTGTCGGAGAGGGCCTACGCACCACGTACTACGCACACGCATTCCGGATTCGAGTGAGAAGTGGTGGCCGACGGGGGTTACGCCTCACGTATTACGCATACGTTTTACGCATTCGCACGCCCAAGGTGTCGGAGAGGGCCTACGCACCACGTACTACGCACACGCATTCCGGATTCGAGTGAGAAGTGGTGGCTGACGGGGGTTACGCCTCACGTATTACGCATACGTTTTACGCATTCGCACGCCCAAGGTGTCGGAGAGGGCCTACGCACCACGTACTACGCACACGCATTCCGGATTCGAGTGAGAAGTGGTGGCTGACGGGGGTTACGCCTCACGTATTACGCATACGTTTTACGCATTCGCACGCCCAAGGTGTCGGAGAGGGCCTCCGCACCACGTACTACGCACACGCATTCCGGATTCGAGTGAGAAGTGGCGGCCGACGGGGGTTACGCCTCACGCATTACGCATACGTATTACGCATTTGCACGCCCAAGGTGTCGGAGAGGGCTTACGCACCACGTATTACGCATACGTATTACGCATCCCCCCCCAAACCCCCTTTATGTGCGCGCACTGGCGCTGCCGCTAGGGCTGCCATAAGTTGGCTGGGGTTGTATGTGCGCTGGTAACAACAGACTCGGGCATAGCCCTCGACAGCCCCCCCCTAACCCCCCTCCCCCCCCCCCCTTGTGTGCGCGCACTGGCGCTGCCGCTCGGGCTGCCATAAGTTGGCTAGGGTTGTATGTGCGCTGGTAACAACAGACTCGGGCATAGCCCTCGACAGCCACCCCCTAACCCCCCACCCACCCCCCTTTATGTGCGCGCACTGGCGCTGCCGCTCGGGCTGCCATAAGTTGGCTAGGGTTGTATGTGCGCTGGTAACAACAGACTCGGGCATAGCCCTCGACAGCCACCCCCTAACCCCCCACCCACCCCCCTTTATGTGCGCGCACTGGCGCTGCCGCTCGGGCTGCCGTAAGTTGGCTAGGGTTGCCTTGGACTACGAAGGATGAAAAATACGTAATGCGTAATGCGTATGCGTGATACGTAAGGGGGGGGGGGGGGGCTCTGGGGCGCGCGGGGCGAGATACATAATCCGGAAACGTGAGACGTGGTACGTAAGGCACCCGCCGCGCGGGCCATTGCACCGTCCCCGGGGCAAAGCTTTGCGGTGAAAAGGACGTATGCGTAATGCGGATACGTGATACGTCGAAGACGCCCCGCCCTGGCCGCGGCGCACCGGCGGAGATCCATAATCCGTATACGTGACACGTGGTACGTATGAGGCAACCACAGGGCCATCGCACCGTCACGCACGCGATGATTACGTGTATGTATTGACGTTTTCTATTTATTTTTGAAGGGGGAGGCGTTCGACGGGCTGCGTAATGCGACGCATTTGGACTGGCAAGTGACGTACACGCACCGAGTTTACGTATTCCCGAGAGGGCGTAATGTGATGCGTATGCATATGGGCCTCTGTGCATATGCGTAGCAGTACAGACCACGATTGGACGATGGGGCACTCCACCCCGCCCCCACTTGCCCTGACTGCACAGGATAGCGTGCCCCGACAAACGGCGACACATAGCGGGGGACACCACGCCGGGGGGTATGCCTAGACTGTCGGTGCTTGGCGGGAGGAGGGGGAGAGGGAGGCGCGGAAGCCCGGTGGGAGGAGAGGGAGAGGGAGGCCCGGTGGGAGGGGAGGGAGAGGGAGGCCGCCTTGGCGCTTGGGCTCTTCTCCTCCCCCCTCCCTGGGCTCTTCTCCGCTCCCCACCCTGGGCTCTTCTCCCCTCTCCTGCCTGGTACTCTCGGCCTGATTACCGGAGCGTCTGCTGGAGCAGACGCTGGGGGGACACTCACGCCCGGAGGCGGTACGCACGACCCGGAGGCGTGGGGATGGGGGGGCGCCGCGCCGCCGCCGCCGTGCCGCCTTCTCCCGCTTTGATCTCCCTCAGCTGCTTCTCCTCAACTCAACCTGTGAGCTTGCGAGGGCGGCGGGGGTGGGAGTGCTCTCGGGCGGCGTGTGCGAGCGCGCGCGGCGCGAGATCTCTTTCGCGAGGGCACGGTGGGTCGGGTGAGTATCTCGCGCGCTCGCACTATTTCACGTTATGTGAGGCGCTGCCCCTAACTGCCTTTGCAAGAACCGCCAGCGGCGGTTGAACCGTTCGCGGTTCGAGTCGGGAGCTTTTGGCTCCCGGTTCGAAACTCGCGTGGAGGGTTGCTTCGCGGTAGCGAACGCGGGCGACGCGAGCGCGCGCGCGTGCGTGTGCGCTGCTGCAAGGCGAGGCGAGGCGCAGGCGCAGGCGCAGGGGCAGGCAAGGCGAGGCGGGCGGCGGCGGCGCGCGATCGTTCCTTTTGCCCGGGTGAGGCGTGGCGAGCACGTCGCGCGGTGATGACGCTGCACGCTGAGAAGTTCTTGGTGACCCACCGCGGTGGCAGCGAGCCAGAGCAAGCGACCTGCCGCATGACGGGTGGACCTCCAAAAAGAACTCCCCAGATGCACACACAAGACCACGAGACACGCAAGAGTGTGCGCGGCGGTCTCCGGAAGGGCTATTGCCAGGTGGCGGCCACGCCGGCGCTGCAGTGGTAAGGCCGGTTCAAGCAGGGCGGTACGTACGACTTGACTGGAGGACGCGATTCCAGCCGTGCCACCGCAAATTTTGATCATCAAATTTCGAGGGGCTGTCGCCAATTTTGAGGTAGATTTTGATTGTCAAAATGTGTCCGTCTTGACACAGGATAGAATATACAATATTCTTAGCTTCGAGCCCCCCTCCGAGACTCAGGACAGAACCCATAGATA